GCGCGTATGACGAAGAAGCCTTCAAACTAAAGCTGCATCAATGTCGGAATTGGTTTGCTGAATTTCACCGCTGACGAGGACACGTCAAGTCGTTGTTGGAACTTTTTTTTCACTCGAAACGCGGAATCGTGAATTTGCCCGAGACATGGCAAAAGATAACGGCCAAATTGACAAAGTTTCTCGCGAGAAATTGGCCGCGCAGCTACTTTTTCGGTCAAACCTGATCGTCTCGCTCGAATCTGAAGCACTTTGTCGGACAAGTGGCCGCGTACAAGTCGTTCCATAGTGGCTTTTAATAGTTAATTGCCCGAGATGGGATCGTCACTCGACAAGATCGTTTGCCGTCGTTTTCACTCATCATTTGATTTTCTTTTCTTCTCTGCACACTGTGCAATTAGCCCGATTCTCGCTCTCTGTACACGATCGGAGGAGGTATCTCGAACAGAAGAGACAAGGTGTAAGAAAGAGTGGAAAATGCTCACGTTAATGACGACCCTCTCGCAAAAGTCATGATCGTGCGGTATGGGCTCGAACTGCGTGACGCCTGTGTATTGGGTGTGTGGGTTCGGCCCATCCTCGTCCTGGCTGCTGAGTTTCGGCAGCGATCTGAAAAAAAAAGAAAGACAGCCGCGTCGTTAAACTGTCCCGGTGGATCAGGGCCGCGCGCGTGTGTCAGGTGATACACACGCGATACGTAAAACACGTACGATACACACACACACACACACACACACACACGCGCACGCACACACGCGCGCGCGAGAAACACGCTGCTCGCAGTGTTGTACAAGAGAGTACGTACAAAAACGGAAAACTAGGTTGCGCTACCTCTGAACTAACAGCCCCTATACCGAGCTACTCTCTTAATGAGCTACTAGAGCTTGGTAAGCCACTAGGTCGACAGCCTGGTGTGGCTGCGACAGCTTGATAGATCGGCAAAAGTGAACGTGGCGGAGTCGATCAAGAGTTAACGAGGTGATGATCGAGCTACTCGATCGCTAGAACGAGGATCAATGTGGGGTAGAGGGTGTATGTGGATCAACGCAGACACGTAGGCAATGGGAGGCGTGGACGTAGACACCGAGAGACAGGGTGTAACTTCTCTCGCGAATGTGGAAATGTTTCGTTAATTAGCGGTCTACCGGGGGTGTTTGGGGGGATCGCTACGCAGATCGCCGAGAGGAAACAGAGTCGGAGTGACAACCAGTCACGGTGTGGCTTACGCTTACGGATTCGCGCGACGTTCCGGGGAACATTGGCAGGACATTGGCGGGTATCTTTCTTCTCCGCAAGCCGAGGCCGGAATAAGTCGAGCTGCGCCGAGTTACCCACTCGCGCGTACGTACGTACGTACGTACGCCATCTTTCCTCGAGGGTCGATGCTTCGCCGTCGATTGATTCACGAAGGCGTCGAAGAAAGCCTGCGAGTCCATTTTTCGATGGAAAGCTTCGCGGGCAGGCAACGCGCCAGCCATCTAGGCAGATCTCAATTAACAACCGCCCATCGGCTGTCGAAATAACGAGCGGCAGGCCGCAGGCCAAAGAGCTTCCCGGTTTCGTTTCCACTCCAGGATATCCTTCGCCTCGAAGTCTCACTCGCTCTGCTTCGAACAGAGGCACTTTTCTCGAACCTCCGATCTTAAATCTTCCTTAAGGAGTTCAGCTGAACGATTTCGATCGAGAAAACTCGCCTTGACTTTTCGCGCAACTGATCGTGCAGAAAATAAAAGAAACGTCGCGATTAAACGATCGAACGTTCGAGGAAAGAATCCCCCAGCGCTTTCGCTGGGGATTTCGTGTGAGAAGGGTAAGAAGAATGAGTCGAGAGTCGGCAACGCGCGGAAGAAGAGGACGGCGAAGGAAAAACGCGGGGGAGGCGCGAGCGAGAGACGCCGCCAAAGAGCCATCTCCACGCTCCACTTCGCGGGGTCGCGATGGTCCTCGGTCGATTCCCAACGTTTCTCTCGCTGTTGCGCGCCTCCCGCTGTTTCGTAAAAAAATTTCCCTCGCTTCTTCGAGTCACACCTGCCCGAAAATCGCCAACCAGCCGGCAACAATCTACAATCGACACTGTCGCGCAGTAAAGAACCGTTGTCTTTCTCGAGTATTCCTCAGTAAACGTCATTATTACGTCGTGTCAGATGTGAAGCGTCGAAAGAATTGTACAGAGCGTCCGAAGCAATTTCAAACAACGTCTCGCGTAATTATCTTTTAAACTAAATCGTTGTGGAAGTGTTTTTTTTTTCTTCTTTCTAAGAGTAAACGTTACTTTGTAATTTGAGTGGGACATCTGTTGGCTGTGACAAATCTCGTTCGCGTGGACGTTTTAAAGAAATTGTACATTTTTTCAGTCTGTTTTTTTTAAGACGAATTCATCGAGATTCGCGTGGTGGTATTTCAAGGCTGTTCACTGTCTCTCGAAGGATTCAAGGTCGTTCATTGCCTGCGTTAAACCTACCGAGAAATTATTCTCTCATTTTTCGTATTCGATAATACTCCATCTCTAAAGTAAATCATCAATGTTTCATATATCGACGAGGTCGATAAAGAAAAACACATATAACAGTTTCATTTTTAAAAAATCTCGAAAACACCCAGACAAGATTTGTGACCACCAAAAAATGTCGTCCCTCGAAACAAAGTAAGTTTCGTTTGTAACATTTTGTTCTATGACGAACAGTTTAGAAGATAAACTACGCGATACGTTCAAATAGGATACCCAATATTATAGAGTACGTCGGAATTACATGTACAAAAAAGAAAAAAAAATAAGAAAAATATACAGAACAAAATATATTTACAAAAAAATAATAATTAACAGGAGGATTAATAATAAACAAAAAAAAACGTAGAATAAAATCTTTTCACTTCAAGCAGAAATCTTGCAAGAAGAATGGACTTTTGAACATAATTAAAAATTGCCTCAACACTCGATACATATTCTCAAATTCGATCATCTTGAGAACAAGGCATCACGCACAAGAATCTCATTCCACGTTTTATCCTTTATTTTCGCACGTTTCATCATTTTCTATCCACGACTGGAATTAACTTCGTAACTTCCTAATTCTAATTGATAAATTTTTACAGACCAAAAAGTATTCTACATGTTTTTCTTATTCGTAAGAAATTATCCCTTCGTCTGTACTTGTTAACCTTATGACGTTGAGAATTTTTTGTCCCAAATTGCAATATTTTCTCAGTTTTAAGTACATTTAAATGTAACCCAAGCAAAACAAATGATAAGTATATTACTTTTTAATAATTTCTATCCGGTGATATCGTACCGACGAGTTTAAAAGAAAAAGAAAGCGACGAATTATTGTGTACGGTTTGGTCACTCGTTACGGTCCGCAATCAGTTGCCAACGCAAGTAGTTAACCTTTTGCCACGCACGTCGAGAATTTTTTGTCCCAAAATTTCAATACTCTTTCAGTTTCAAGTATATTTAAATATATACCCAGGCAAAACAAGTAATAAATTTATTATTAATCAGTAATTTCTATCCAATGATATCATACCGACAAGTACAAAAGAAAAAGAAAGCGACGAATTATTGTGTACGGTTTGGTCACTCGTTAAGGTCCGCAATCAGTTGCCAGTGCAAGCGGTTAATCTCTTGCCACGCACGTCGAGAATTTTTTGTACCAAAATTTCAATACTCTTTCAGTTTTAAGNTATATTTAAATATATATCCAGACAAAACAAATAATAAATTTATTACTAATCAGTAATTTCTATCCAGTGACATCATACCGACGAGTACAAAAGAAAAAGAAAACGACGAATTATTGTACACGTTCGGTCACTCGTTGTGGTCCGCAATCAGTTGCCAGTGCAAGCGATTCATCTTTTTCCACGCACGTCGAGAATTGTCTGTCCCAACATTGCAACATTTTCTCAGTTTCAAGTATATTTAAGTATAACACCGACAAAACAAATAATAAATTTATTACTTCTCAATAATTTCTATCCAGTGATATCGTACCGACGAGTTCAAAAGAAAAAGAAAGCGATGAATTATTGTGTACGGTTCGGTCACTCGTTGTGGTCCGCGAACCAGTTGCCAGCGAGTTAATTCTTCAGTTCGAAGAGTTTACAGTTAAACAATTCGAAAATTAGCCATCGCATTCGAAATCGAGAACGATCGTAGACTGTCGTGAAGGATGTAGAACCATTATCTCGATGCTTTTTCACCAACGACCTGACAAAACAGCTAACGACCTTGTTCAATCGGTCCCACATCGGCATCACGAATCAGCCGGGTGTTTTCGAAGGCGGCGTTCTTATCGTTCGCCCCCTGACCGAGCATTGTGCCGAAGACAAATGTTTCTCACTCCTCCACCTCTCGCGCGATTCCGGCGCGAGATAAAGGACAGATTAGCCACGGAAACGCAACGATTCTCCGGCCAGTGAATCGTCCACGGACGTCGCGCGCCACGCGTTGAACAAAAGGGGAGGCTCGGCCAGACGAATTTACCCGGCTTGAAAGCGCTTTGTTCGCCGCTTTCGCGCCGGCGGTCGCTGCTCGATGCCGGATGCTGGTGCTCGCCAACGCCTTTCACGCTCGTCGCAAATTCCTCCTCCTCCTCAAAAGCCGCTTTTCCTCCAACCGCTCGACCTTTTCTATCCATCGTGCCGCCATCCTCTCCCTTTCTCTCTCTCTCTCTCTCTCTCTCTCTTGTTCTTTATCGAGACCCGATATGGATATTGCCTCGACTCGAGGACGAGACTCTCGACCAAGAAACTCATTTGCATGAATATTAAGCGAGATAGTTTATGCGACTTTCTGACCTCACACCACCGGCTACAATTATTCGATTACAATGCGATTTGCCTCGACGACGCTCGCTGCATTACAACGTAATCGTACGCTCGATTGACGGATTAGTTGGCTGTGCTGTGCGATGTACGTGGCTAAAAGATAGAGAGGATGTTCTCGTGGATATGTGGTACGTATTCGCGAGTAGATTGGTTCTGTTCGCGTCAGACAACCAAATCTGGCACCGCTCTGATTACACGCGAGACACGAGTTCCCCTACCAGATATTAAACACGTTTAATCCGCGAGTCTCACGGGATATTAATATTTTGTTCTCTTACGCGTCGTCTGCGGCCAGCGGGATATTCCGTTTTTAGCTTTTAAGCGCGACAAGTCGCGCGTGAGATCAGTCTGCAGATTGACAACGAGCGTTGAAAAAAAATTGGTGATAGACTTTGGGGCGTGTAGCACTCGTAAAAATGCGAACAGAAATATCTCGATGAACAAAAATCGTTAGTTTCAGAGCTGCAAAAGGTTTCGGTTAGGTTTCACTTTACAGTTTTATAATTGTACAGGGTGATTCACGTAACTTGCGCACCTGAAATAACTCTTAAATTATGCGTCTAATGAAAAGTTGTTTGACACAAAAGTTGTATAGTTTTAAAAAAGATAAAATACAGAATATCAATTTTTTGCGAATTTCGAAATTTTCAGTCATCTTTATTCTTTTCTTTTTTTTAATTGGGCTATATATTTCTTTTGTCATAAATCGGAAGAACATTAAATTTGAAGTAGAAAAAATATTGAGCCACGTTGATCCTAAACCTAATGATTAACAAAATATTTTATAATTTGTCTCTTTGCTTGCCACACATTAATGTTCCATGGACGATAATTGATAATAATTTGATAATCAAATATCTCCTTAACTATCAGGTTTAGAACAAACGTGGCTTAACACTTTTTCACTTAGAATTTAATATTCTTCCGATCTATAATAGAAAAAATGAAGTTCAATTAAAAGAAATAGAGATGACCTTGGAAATTCCGAAATCCACGAAAGAATTGATACGCCATACTCTGTCTTTTTTAAAACCATGCAACTTTTGTGCTAAACAATTTTTGATTAGGCACATAATTTTAAAAGCAAGTTACGTGAATCAGCCTGTACAACGGCGGCAACAAACTCGCGCACGTTAAATAATCAATGTTTCGAAAAATTTCGTAAACGACAGTCAAGCTGTTATAACAAGCGATAAATTTGAGATTCTACTTTCACAATTTCGGATTCATTACTCGCAAGAGATGTTTTCATATCGTGTAGTAAGAACGGGGAAATAAACATACTGTATATCCTCGAAGATTTAAACGTCTGTCAAAACACTGTAGAACCTTTTTCTTGGACTGAATTCACCATGAATTTGGAGATCGAAGCTTCCTCTTTACAACAATTCGCTGAAACTCGCTGTACAATTTCTTTTCGTTCTTCTACGAACTTCGTACAACTCTAATGTTCAAAGTTCAACAAAAGTTTGGCTCGTTTCTCGTCATTTTTTTTTTTTTTTTATTGAACTACGGACAGAATTAAATTTTGGGATTTCCTAATTTTCGAAATGAGTCAGATTGTTGACATCTCCTAATTTTCTTCAATTTAGCCCGAAGATTCTAAAATAGCAATTTTCAGATTTCAATCTCGCAGTTCAATTTCGTTTGAATTTTCTACAGTTTCCGAGAAACAAACGTATCCTTGCCGCGAAATGACGTAGAAACGTTTCTTTTTCGTGGAAAAACGAAACTCGAGACTCTGGCCGAGCAGAGTCTTTGGTTTCACGCTTTGCAACGACCCTTTGGACGACCGTATCGTTGTACGATTCTGCCTCGCTTGAAATATCGACAATTTACAGAAATTCGTCTTGAAACAGAAAAACTCCGTAATAACTCCGAAACCAATGATCTCGAGGTTGTTTCTGACGTTCTCACTCGTTTCGACAAGTAATGCGCACCCCTGAAGTTCGACACTGTCTTTCTAAACGCCCTGTACAAAAAAAAAAAAAAAAAAAGAAAAAAAAGAATGAAAATTCGCTGCACAATTCGTGACACGTCTCGGTTTGACACGCCCGGGATGAAAATCGATATTTCAATTTCGTCGTTTTAATTGCGCCGCGAGGGTGGGACAATGGCCAACTATTTATCAAAGTCTGTCGATGATGTAGGCGTGAAAAAACGCGGGAGGAAAGGGGACGAAGCGACCTCGCGTTCGACAGAAGGCGCAAGAAAATATCGAACGTCTAACGTGCGCCGTCGAATTAGTTCATCGGTGATGGATGGTTTATTCCTAGATCGCCGATGACAACCGATGCACTCGGCGCAGCCGAAGCGTAACTGAGAATAGCCTGACGTATCGCGAAAATAGATCGTACAACGCGGCGATCCATCGGCGAGCACGTGTCCCTTCCCTCCTCATCTCGTTCTTCGGCCAGCGAGAAAAACCAACCGAAAAAAGGTTTCAACCCGTCCACATTAGCCTCGGATCCTCTGAAAAAGACCAGACACAGAACGTCAATGAACGATGCCCGCCGTCAACGATGTAACGCGTCTGAACATCCCCTGTATATTAAGAAATTTAATAATGAATTGAATCATAATTAATTTCACCATTAATTCAAAATGTATTATTAACGTTAGAAATTTATTATTTAAGCATATGTATTTTTAATTGTATTAACTCTGTATTTTTTAATAAATCGAATATAATACGTAAATGTGTATATTTATATATTTATTATATTTATTATAGTATATAGTATATTTATTATATTTATATAGTACATTTATATTTATGTGTAATATATTTACATGAATACATTTATATTTGATTACAAATATATGATTAAAAGTAATATATAATATATATTGTTCAAGCATATGTATTTTTCACCTCTGGATGTTAAGAAATTTAATAATGAATTGAATCATAATTTCACGATTAATTCAAAATGTATTATTAACGTTAGAAATTTATTATTCAAGCAATTTATTATTTCCAATTTTATTAACTCTGTATTTTCTAATGACTCGAATATAATACATAAATGTATGAATATATTTATATTTGATTTCAAATATATGATTAAAAGTAATATATAATATGTATTGTTCAAGCATATGTATTTCCCACCCCTGGATATTAAGAAATTTAACAATGAATTGAATAATAATTTCACCATTAATTC